TGCTGATATGGGAATATGATAAGCGAATACATCTGAGTGAGAAGACACCAAAGTATCTGCATGACTGAATGGGATTATTATCGAAATTTAGTTCCATGTACTACACTATATCCATCGCCTACGAGAGGATAACGAACAGTAACTAAAATATCAGCAACTTAGGAAATCGATCATGTTATGCGATGATGTACAGTAGGCCTATACCTATACGAGCGCAAGCTTGGTCGTGTTAATGTGATATAGAGGTCTTGAGATGTACTTCTGCTAAATAATTACCTCTTGCTACAGGCCTACTTGTATTGATATTTCCTATACTTAATATTTCTATCGGTTTGTTATCCTGTACTTCTGCTAGAACCTATTGCTACCGACCTCCTTTTAATGATGTTTAATCATATTTCTATCGGTTCGTTATCCTCCATCATAACTGTCTCCACGCTTTTTCCTCTGACAAATTTTAAAGATCCCTTCTTCGGATGTATTCAATTTCAAAAAAGAAGAAAAAAATAAAATAAAAGAGTATATCGCGTACAAATACTCTTGTTCTGACCTTTCACTATGGAAAGATATGGGCGGTTCCACGGTGACGTCACGATGCCGTCGTCATGAATGAAAAATATCTTGACGCCCTCCCGGATCCGCAGAAGCTCGCGTGTGTCGGAGCGGAAGGAGCCTTGGCCGGGGTGCGGGCTGGGGGGGGCGGCGGGATGGGGGAAGGGCTGCGGAAGCCCCTGCCATTGGCTCTGGCGGGGTGACCTGCCAGGAAGGTAGATTCATTTGCTTTAGGGTGGGATTCTCTCTCTCTCTCTCTCTCTCTCTCTCTCTCTCTCTCTCTCTCTCTCTCTCTCTCTCTCACACACACACACACACACACACACACACACACACCACACACACACACACACACACATACACATATATATATATATATATATATATATATATATATATATATATATATATATATATTATATATATATATAGACACATGCATCATGTATCATACGTATATTGCACCATTTGCAGGTTCGTAGCGCGAATACATGTTTGGCTCATGTTTGGACCTGACGGACTAATACAACTGGTTACGTTGCACAAATTTCGCAGCTATCATATCATCATGTGATTATCAGGTAAGTTAGCATCATATACTTGACTCTATCTCACCCAATGTGTAATTATTTGAAATCAAATACTGGATTTCATGAGAAAGAGGGTTTAAGGCAGTGATTTCAAAGAGAGACTCACCTGGCCATCAACTGGGGAGTAGAACTTGGACCTTCCAACACCTGTTTCAAGAGGTTCAGGTTCCCAAGGACTCCATGGTTCCGCGGCGTAAGGAGTCAGCGGAGGGGGAGACGAAGAGGCACTGGAAGTCCACGATCCCACAGAGGAGGACACAGAGGATCTGATCCTGGTATTGGCGCAGACATGCTGGGTCCCTTGACGTGCTGAGTAATGGGTTGATGCCTCAGACGCTTTCCCTGTGACATTTCGGGAGTAAAAACTACTGTCAAATTCGTCATAGTGTTCCGAGGAGCTGTCTTCCATCTCTTGGAGTATTTTTCTTGGTTCTGCGTAATATGGCTCGTTTGCAATTTCCTCTTCAGTCATTCCATCGGGACAATCTTCGCCGTCGGAATAATGAGTTGAATCTGGCTCGGTAGGAATAGACTCGGGGGATTCAACTAGTGGTTCAGACAGAGGATCGAACTCGTCAATGATGGACGCTCTGCTGGCGCACATATTCGATGACTGAAGATACATTCCTAGAGTGTTATAAGAACAGTCTAAGAGTGTGTCTTCGGACCTACACCGAGAGGCTTTAATGGACGAGTTGGATCTCTGAGGAGAAACCCTCGCGTGGCCTGGCGTTTGGGAAATGGCAAAGTCAAGGGCGTCCAGGAGTGTTTCCCTTTGTTCGTCTGTGGGCGAGTCGTCTGACTCCTCTTCTTCAGTCCTGGTGTTTTTAGAGTCGTGTGGCTCATCTGCCGGCACGGCGATCGGCTTCAGAGGGGTGAGGAGGCGATCAACCTTCTTATGAGGTTTGTTGTCCTCTGAACGTAGCTGGACGTCTAATGATAATTGTTTGTGTTCTGCGTCTTTGCTGGTGCTGATGGGCAGAGAGGAAAATTCTTCAGGGAATAATTTGTCGTTTTCGTCTTTCGGTGTAAACGACGCGAAGGGATCTATATCAGCAAAAGGATCAAGGACTATTGTAGGTGACTTAGAAGTCTTAGAAGGACTTCCAGATGCCATATCTGAAGGTTCCTTACATTTGTCTTCACCCTCAGTCAGACTCATTTTTTCGAAATCACTTTCGACTGAACTGCCTATATCACAATCCTGTGCAAGATCATCAAAGGCATCATCAATTTTATCATTTGTGTTGGGTGGTTTATCATCAATTTTATCATTTATGATAGGTTGTTTATTTGGTTGTGCATTTACAAAAGCTTTGCAAGTATCTTCTTCATCAGAATTGTTGTCACTTAAGCTTGTCAGGCTTTGGCGTAACGAAAGTGGCTCAGTTGTTTCATCAAGCTTTTTAGAATCACACTTCTTAGGCACAGATATTTGGGATTCAGAAACAGTGGCTTCACATGCATTATCCATATTCTTATTCTCTAGATGCTCTATGACTTTTATTCCCCCGTCAGTGGTACTTTGTATGGGATTAGCGACGATACCATCTTCTGTATGAGGCGTTGATTTGTCCTTCGGGCCAAAATCTTTTCGCAAATTTGATTCGGCCAATGGTAAATCTACGTCCTGATTTAATTTTGGTCGGCCCTCTAAATCCCCGGCTGGCAGTTGGAAAGATATCTCAGAGAGGGATGACAGGTGGTCCGGCTGAATGCAAGATCTTGGTCTCGATCTTACAGAAGGTCTCACTGGAACTTCCTGCACTGCGCGGGGCGGATAGTGAGATTTTGGCCGAGGATACGACATCCGCGCGGGAACCAAAGGGCGGATCGCCACTGGTGCCGTTGTGCGAGACGGGAAAGGCTGCGAAGGCTGCTGGCCCTCGCTCAAATCCACCAGCATCTCAGTCCTCAAGTCCCCATCCGTGAGGGAGAGTGAGCGCCTGTGTGATAAGCCTGGGTTTTGAGGCCTCCCGGACCCTGAGTGTGCAGGAGGGTCGTGGGCGGGATGAGTCACACTGCGGCCATAGGACGGACGGTGCGCCGCGGATCTATTTTGTTGGGCGTCCGGCGGACGACGGGGTACGTGTGGGCGCGGATGTTCTCGGGGTGGTTCGTGTGGGCGTGGTGGTTCTCGGGGTGGATGGCGCAAAGATTGAGGTTCTCGGCTGCGGACGCTAGGAGGGGCAGGCTGCTCCTGGGGTTGGCGGGGTTGGGGCGGCCGCGGGCAACGTGCAGGGAGTTGCGGAGGTCCCGAACGACGAGTAGACGGGGGTCTTACAGGAATTGATGGACGTACACCTAAAGAAGCATCAGAGATTATCGCAACGTTTCATAGTGTGATTATTCACACCATATTTTTTTTATATCAAAATTCAACAAGAAGCCAGCATCAAAAGACTTACAGTAAAAAACCATTCCGTCGAGGAAAATTATGTCCAGAAAAAAAATAATAGCTAGCCAGTGCACGTATACTTAGATGGATAAAGAATGTCAGAAAAAAAATACAAAGGGTTCCTGTGGAAATATGAAAGAAAAACTGACGACTTGCCTGAGGTCCGCTGTTGATCTTCCCGAAGGACGTCGTCGTACGTCGGCGGTGCCCCTGGAGTGGTGCTCTCCTGAATGACTTCGCGTGGTGCCGACACTGCCGCCTGGGCGTCGCTGAACCCGTTGAGAGCCTCTTTCCTTGAATGGTGATGGCAGATGATTTTAGAGAAAAAACATTGAATTTCATGCCGCAAAGGCTAAATAAAAGCTTTTTCAGTGTATGATATTGTTATTAGTAGTGCAGGTAACATTACAAGGGTAGAAGTCAGGGTACCTATCGAATTTACCAATATAACTAAACTTCCATTTATGTAGTGTCTGCCACTCGAGCAGTTTTTTCATAACTGAAATGGTATATGAAAAGAGCGAGAGAGAGAAAGAGAGAGGGAGGGGGGAGAGGCAGAGAGAGAGGGAGGAGGGAGAGGGACGGACGGAGAGGGGGGAGGGGGGGAGAGGGACGGAGGGAGGGGGAAGGAGGGAAGGGGGAGGAGGGAGGGGAGGGAGAGGAGAGAGAGAGAGAGAGAGAGAGAGAGAGAGAGAGAGAGAGAGAGAGACAGACAGACAGACAGACAGACAGACAGACAGACAGACAGACAGAGACAGACAGAGAGAGAAAGAAGATAGTGAGGAGGCACTGCTTAGTAACAATCTAAAAACTCATAACAGACAACGTTGTCGCAGTGGAGGTGCTGTGCTTTATCAAGAAAAGCAAGCAGCACTTCTCAAAGACACCGGAAGTGAGACTTTCCTCATATCCTTAACATAAGGCGTAGAAGTAATATTACAATTATAACACACCAAACAATGACTCGTATGAACGCTTGATAAGAGGTTCATTACGGTGCAGCATAATGAGATCAAAGCTAATCACTTGCATTATGATAAAGGACTTAAATGGATGTAACGTAAAGCTTTTTATGGATGAATAGATAATTTGAAATTGTAGCGCCGCTAAGGCTTCTCATTATCAACTTATCAAAGTGTTGTTCCTTGAAAATATTGTTGCGTCACAGCTGATCACGAGAGCAAGATAAGCGGGACGTTTTCTCTTTCTCTGTTTTTTCATTTATTTACTTCTCTCTCTCTCTCTCTCTCTCTCTCTCTCTCTCTCTCTCTCTCTCTCTCTCTCTCTCTCTCTCTCTCTCTCTCTCTCTCTCTCTCCTACTCTCTCTCTCTCTCTCTTTCTCATTTCCCTCTCTTTCTCCCAACCCCTTTTCTTTCTCTCTTTCCCCCTTCTCTTTCTCTCTTTCTCTCTTACCCCCCCTCCTCTCCTCTCTCTCTCTCTCTCTCTCTCTCTCTATGAGTGTGTGTGTGTCTATACCTCTATATAACAATATATCCTTTTCACTATTATTTTCATTACATAACCACACACATATCTCGCTATCTGTGTAGTTCTAACCTTACAAACCCTCGTTCTTACCTGCTAAGGAAAACAGCTGATTGCATCTGGAAAAATTTTTGTCTGGTGGTCTCATCTGTGGTGATGGAGAGCACTTGAGTCTTCAGAACCTTGTCTACCACTGAAAGGGCCTTTTGGTATTCGTTGGCTGCCTGAGAAACATTTGTATTTGTTAGTAACAGATGATATTCAAAGTGTACTTGTTAAAGAGAATGTATTCATGAGAAATATTTTGAAATTTGCTGTGTTCTTACCTCCATGTATCGGCCTTTTAGCAAATAATGTTCAAATTATGATTGTTAAAGAGAATGTATCCACGAGAAATATTTTGAAATTTGCAGTTCTTTTTACCTCCATGTATCGGCCGTTTAGCAAATGATATTCAAAGTATACTTGTTAAAGAGAATGTACCCACGAGAAATATTTTGAAATTTGTAGTGTTATTCTTACCTCCATGTATCGGCCGTTTAGCAAATGATATTCAAAGTATTGTTAAAGAGAATGTATCCACGAGAAATATTTTGAAATTTGCAGTGTTATTCTTACCTCCATGTATCGGCCGTTTTCCATGAACGTCCGGGCCTTTTTGCCACGACTGAAGACTTCCTTGCAGCAGCATTCGAACTCCCCTGGCGTGATCACAGCCTCTTGGGCGGTGGCCTGGCCTGGCCTCCTTGGCACCACCGCTGAAGTTGCTGCTTCGCTTCTAGACTCGGTTTGGTTTACCGAATTACTTTGATTATTATTTTGTATTGAATTCGGCTGAGAGGATCTTCTCTGGGGGGCAGTCGGAGGCAGAGGAGGTGGCTTTGATGGCAGTGGAGGAAGAACCAGTGTCCCGAGGCGTCTGTGGCTTTTGGGCTTCGACCTGGCCTCTTGACTAGCCCCAGAGGTTGGTGTGGAGAAGGCCAACGGGCGCGATGGCGTACTGTTTGAATCCGACACTGGAGGCGCGCCGGAGGAAGGTTGCTGGGCCTCTGGAGTCCTGTTCGGTTCATTTCCACTACGTCGTGACTCATGGCGGCGAGGAGGAGTCACGTGAGATGAATGATTAGCCTCTGTTGGCTCTGGAGTTTCTAAAGTTCTCCGAGGAGAGGGTTTTGGAGGCTGGGTTGGCGTAGAAGCTGGACGAGGCACGCTGCGGTTGGAGGGAGTGCTCTCAGGACTGGTGTAGATGAAGGTTCTAGGAGGTTTAGGAGGTGGACTCGTCAGTTCTGTAAACGAGGACTCGTTTGCAGGGGGGCTGTTTTTCGCATTGGCGTCGGGTAACTTCCCTTGACTTGAAAGACTTCTTGTGATAATTTCTCTTGTTCCGCTCGTCTGATCGCCCAACTCGTCCTTCTTTGCTTCTTGCTGCAGAGATCCCCCATCTTGTGTTGGGTTCCCTGTTGAGGCATTGTTTATGAATTTAGTTCTGGGAAGGGGCACAGGCGTCTTCCCAGACCCTGTGTTCGTTTTAGGCCCCTCTACCGAGGAGGACTTTATCCAAGTTGTCCTCATGATTTATGAAGCGTTTTACTAACATGCACCGTGTCACCTCCTAGACTATACTTAATAACCGCCCATTATAATCCTTACACCAGAGCTACTAGGAAAGCGAGAGTGCAGGAACAATGCCCTAGTGAATGGTCTACCTATGTCACCATCGACCTGCACAGCGAACACTTCACAAAAAGTCTCCAAACAGAACTGATAGGGAGAGAGAGTCTGACGCCGCGGTCCCAACTCTGAGGTCTTTAGAGATAAAGTTCTCCATGGTTACAGATAAGCTGGACTTATCGAATAGCTTTGTAATCTCAAACATCGAGATGATACATGTAAGCGTGTAGAGGCGAATATTTCGTTGTATTCTTATTCGGATTAACCTTAAGTTGTATGTGCATTGTAGACTGATACCGTCTATCTATATTTTACGTGTTCGTTAGCCAGTGTGTCCCGTGTTGTCCCCTGAAGAAGTTTAAAGCGTTATAACCGACAGTCGACTGATAACGTATCGATCCCCAATGATATTTTGAATGTCTGCTAGTTATTTAAACAAAATAACACAACAGGAACTTCATATAAAGTGTAAATGACACAGGCAAAAAAATACTAGCACCGACCTCCAAGGGGGAAGAGGATAAGGACGTGGAAGAGGATAAGGAGGGGAAAGAGGAGGAGGAGGAGGAGATAAAATGGAAAAGGAGGAAAAAGAGAAAGAGGAAGAAAATGAGGAGTTAAAAGAGGATAATAAGACTTACTAATTGTTCGTGTGGCTATGAGAACTTATCTATTTTTACCTACAAATGATAAGTTAATTTAATAAATAATAATTTTATTAAATTATATAAAATATGATAATTCAATAAATAATAATCTAATAACCTGGTGTTCCTGATGATCTTCTGTACAACGCAACCCATG